AAAATTATTTTTTTGGAATATTTCATGTATTTTTCATTTTAAAATTACAGTATAATATTTCTAAAAAAGAATATTATTTTTTTAAAATTTTTAGATTCTGTAATTTTCATTTTAAAATTACAGTATAATATTTCTAAAGAATGAAAAATTACAGTATAATATTTCTGAAATATTCTAATTCTGGAAATAATATTTAAAAAAAAAAAGAATTTTTAGATTTTTTCCATTTATTTTGCATTTTAAAATTATTTTTTAGAATATGTCAGTGCAATATTGTATTAGAATATTTCACGTATTTTTCAAAAAAAACGGGATTTTTTTAAATTTTTTTATTTTTTTTAGTTAATTGAAGTTTCGAAAATAATATTTAAAAAAATAAATTTTGAATTTTTCCATTTATTTTGCATTTTAAAATTATTTTTAGATTTGGTCTCACGATCTCACAAAATTAGAATGGTTTCAAATAAACCTGAACTTATATATATATATATATATATATATATATATATATATATATATATATATATATATATATATAACATTGATAATTTTTATTTTCAAAATTAATAGAATTAATTAATTAATCTTATTTAATACAAAATAACCACAAAATGATATGTGAAATTAAATTAATTTATTGAAAAAACCACAAAATTACTAGTGACAAAACTTTTAAGATTTGACAATCGACGGAAAAAAAACATTTATTTAGCAAAGATGATGTTTGTAATTAATGTATGATTCAAGATAGAAATTTAATTATCTGAGTATTTATTGATTATAATAATTTATGTTGATTCTTTCACATGATTCTTATTCTTAGATTCGTATTTAATTATTAATACTATTAAATACTTCAATACTAAAATAAATATTTTCGTTAGATAAATGGTAAGAATAATTTTACATATTTTCCTTATAACTTTTTCATCAAATATATTTTCCTCCCTTTTGAGCCATTTTGTTTATCTCTTGTACTTGTATTATATACATGTAGAATTTCAATTTCTCCGTATATATATATACACACACCGCCTACTTTACTGTTGGGCAACGGGCAGCTGCCCCACAAAAGAAAAAAAAAATTAATTAAAAAATACTTTTTTGAAAAAATATTACTATAATTTAATATTTTAAAATTATATATTTTCACTCTTCAAAAATATTTGTTCATAAAAGTTATTATAAAAAATTGCCCTCTCTCTCAAAAATTCTTGGGTCCCCCATGTATACACACATTATATACCCATATATATTGTAATTGTAATTGTGTGTATATAACCTTTTCCCTCTTAGTAGTTATGTTTAAAAATTATTAGCAGTTATACACACACACTTTCTCTCACATAAAGTCAGTATCTTTTTGACATTTGAGGAAGAAAATGGGGAAAGCGATGAGGTGGTTGAAGGGGATGTTCAGTTTCAAAAAAGAAAACGACCAATCAAATTCCGGTAGCCGGAAAGACAGGACTACCTCATGCATCGGTCGATCACGTCGCGATTCCTCCACTTCTCCACCGGAGACTCCCTTTCTGAAACCACTATACAGCAACAATTCCGTGGAGCAAAACAAGCATGCAATTGCAGTAGCTGCCGCCACCGCCGCAGCCGCAGACGCCGCCGTGGCTGCAGCCCAAGCCGCCGTCGCCTTCGTCAGACTAACAAGTTATAATCGCGTCACCGTCAGGGAGAACTCAGCCGCCATTAAAATCCAAGCTCTGTTTCGTGGGTACCTGGTAATTCTCAACTTTTATTCAGTTACTTTTACATCAATCGACATATAATCAAAAACTTAAAAACCCAATTCGAATTCCAATCAATGGATTCAAATTATGTGGAATTAACAGTCGAGGAAAGCATTGAAGGCATTGAAATCGCTAGTGAAGCTTCAAGCAGTTGTGAGAGGTTATTTAGTGAGGAAAGAAGCGGCAGAGACTCTACATGGCATGGAGGCATTATGCAGAGCACAATCCACTGTTTGCTCGCACAGATTTCGTCTTCAAGATGATAAATTTCACTCAAGAAGATCAATTGTAAGTAACCCAATTCGTCAATTTCGCTTTGTGTGTGTTTATTTATGAAAAAAAAAATTCTTGTTAATTTACAGAAGAAGGCTAATGAGGCAAGAAGCAGAAGGATTTCAACTTCTTTTCAATCATCATATGACGGAAGGCCCAGCCCAATAGAGTTGGGTCCAGATTCGGGGGCCCAAACCCCAAATTTTAGCAACCCTCATCATCTTTCGAGACCTAGTTTACCAAACCATCATGTATTCGACTATGGCTTCTCAACAACACATAACACCCCTCGTTTCTCATATTCGTGTGGGCCAAACATTTATGATTCTGTGTATGATAGGGTTTCAAAAGATGACTCATTTGCGAGCCACCCTGGTTACATGGCTAACACCAAGTCTTTTAGGGCTAAGGTGAGGTCCCATAGCGCACCAAAACAAAGGCCAGATTATGGGTTTGGGTTCAAGAAGAGGGTTGGTCTAAATGAGGTGGAATTTGGTGCAAGGGTTGAAAAAGAAAAGGAAAAGGAAAAGGAAAAGTCACCATCACTACTAGAAGTCAACAATTTCAAAAATTTTGTGATGGGAAGAATTGGGAAGTCCTCAAAAGTCCAATGGGGGTGAGTAGGGAAAAGGGTATGCTTTATCTTTTATTTGTAGTGGGCGCATTTAAAATGGATTAGATAGATAGAACAAAGTTGTTCAATTTTGAGTTAATGTCAACGTATGAGACTTATAGTTCGACTTAAGTAAAGCAAAAATATATGGTGTGAAATTATATTATTATATTTTAAGCCTTGAAATTTTATTGGTTAAGTGATTGATCGATATGATAAATCATAAATATATAGACTTTGGACTTGGTCGACTCGACTTATACTCAATAAAATTGTGTATGAGTTAAAGGCGTCAAAACCTTTCTCTTGTGTCAATGGCTTCAAAATTAAATCATTGTGTCAAAATCTAAAAGATAATATTTATGTTACTTATAATTGTGTTTTATATTTATATGGTAAATCAATGCGTATGGTTTATTATACTAAACAAATGAACCTTCATTTAGTTCATTACATGCGTTGTTTTCAATTTATATTAGTTTCTGTTGGAAACATTGTTGCAAAAACATGTGTGAGCCTTTATTTCTAACTTGGTTTGATTAACCTTAAAATTATGAGAAACCATAAAATGTTCAAATTAAATATAGCATTAAATAAGGATCTATCCTGAAAAATTAAATATTCTCAAAAGCTAAGGACGAATAACAAAAAAGGATAATTATCTTTATAATAACTTTTTATTTTTAAACAAAAATATATAATAAAAAAAACTAGATCATGTTCAACCACCCACTTTACTACTTCTTGATGGTATGTTGTTAAATGAAGATCCAAAACCATTTTACAAAGTCAATACCACCTCGACTTGGGTAAATAACCCAAATTGATGAGACTTGAGCTAATAATTACACTCTCACATTTTTATTTAAACTATTAATTATACTATCACATTTTTATTTACACTTGAGCTAAATAACCCTAATAATTACACTTGAGCTAATAATTACAGTCACATTTTTATTTACCATGGAAACAATCATTTTATCAAACTATTAAATAACTTTTACATCTTTACCTTAAAACATTTTTTCAATTTATACCATTATATATATATATATATATATATATATATATATATATATATATATATATATATATATATATATATATATATATATGAAGTGATAAGGGTTGAAAGTAATTTTTTAGAAGGACAAATTACACGAATGGTCCCTATGGTTTGGTGTTTGTTACGCGCCTAGTCCCTAACTCCATTTTTTAACCATGCCAATCCTTAATAGTTTGGTTTAGTGCACGCCTGGTACCTCATCTAACCTTCCGTTTGATTTTGGAGTTAAAACCCCCACGTGCCTTGCACGTTGAGGGGTATTTCCATCATTTTACTTATTCATCCTTTAAAAACCCTAGATCAGTGCATCCCCCTTTTCTTCCTCTACGTTTGTTCTCTTATTTCATCTCTCGTTTCTTTAATGGATAAAAAATCAACAATGATGAAATGTAATTGCGGGCAACCAAGTGTTATACTGACATCATGGACCGACGACAACCCCGGAAGGAAGTTTTATGGCTGCACAAAGAAGGTAAGGTCGTTTTGATTCTAACTCAAGCTTTTGTGTGACAATGACCGCAAATCTGTTGGATTTGAACTTGACAGGGATCTAAATGTAAGTTTATTGGATGGGTTGATGAGGAAGGATGTGGACGATGTACTAGGATAATTCCAGGGCTGTTGAAGGCTAAGAACAAAGTTGAAGCTGAGAATCGGCTGCTGAAGATAATCATTATTTTAAGTTGGGTGTTCATAGGAATCATTATTTACAAGTTGTAGTGCTTAAGAAGATCCAACTAGTATGCTATGTATGATGTTTGTCTTTTTTGAACTTATTTTGACTTCTATGATCCATCTAGTTGGTTGTTGTATGTGAATTTGAAGTGTTTTGAAGTGTTTTGAAGTGTTTCTGGAATGTATTTTGATTAAGTGTTTGTGAATTTGATAATATTTTGGTTAAGTGTTTGATTAAGTGTTTTTGGAGCTTATTTTGACTTCTATGAGCCATGTATTTTCATCAAGTGTTTCTGGAACTTATTTGGAAAAGTAAACACTAACAATTGACAAAAACAACCAATAACATATGCTAACAATCGACATAAACAACCAATAGCACAAGTGGGATTTAATAAAGGGTAATTTAGTTTCCATACTTTCCATAACATAGTTTCATACATCAACAAAATGGTTAATAGTTTCATACATCAACAAAATGGTTAACCAAAAGAAACATAATTTACCCAAAAGTATTAACCATAAGGACACAGTTTTACCAAAAAGACACAATTTAACCAAAAGAACTGATTAACCAACAAAATAAACTTTCACTAATAGATCAAGACCATGTCATCAATTTCCCTCAACCAGCTTTTCCTTTTCCCTTACCAGAACCACCAGAACCACTAAGAGCACTAGCTTTTTGTCCCTTACAACTCCTTGCATTATGACCAATGTTGTTGCACTTTGAACAAGTAACCGACTGAAGGATTCTTGATGCACTATTACCCTTCACCATGTCATCAATTTCATAAGCTGATTTTCTGCGTTTCTTCTTTGGTCTACCTATTGTGACACGATGTTTAGGAGGAACCAAAGTTGTTGGCCACACAGACTTTTCCCACATGCTTCTCCCATTAATGAGCTCAATTTTGAATGAGTACATCTGTTTCCAAGTTTTTAGCCAATATACCTCATGCACCCAAGTTTCTGGTATTCCAACATCCTTACTATTCTTCCTCATCTCCCATATAGTAGCAACAGCATGTTTGCATGGCATCCCAGTGAGTTCCCATTTCCTGCAGGAGCATGTTTGTTGAACCACATCCACCGCGCATTGGTCCATCCAAGGGCCACTTACCTGATACTTACCATTTCCACAAAATACAGATCTATAATCTTCTGCCTTTTTTTTTATATTTTCCAAAGTCTGCATAGCTGTAGGTGTCAAAGGACCAGTACATTTCCCAATGGCCTTTTCTACATTCACAATCTTCTTCATTAGATATTCCCTAATGAACTCTAGGCAAGTAATAATTGGTTTATCACGACCCTCATTCAGTTTTCCATTGAATGTTTCACACAAGTTATTAAGAATCACATCAGAATGTGCTCTCCCTGTCCAATCACATCACTTAAAGTCAATTAAAAAAACTACACAAACCAGGAAAACATAAAGAATGTTATTAGAGTTAAATGTTATACCAGTGAAATGGGACCTAGACCAGTGCTGAGGTGGTATCTTCTTAAGCCACTCATAACAATCCTTGTTTAATTTCTTTAGCTCTTCCATGCCTTTGTTAAACTGTTGTACATGTGTTGCAGTTGCACATGTCCATAAGAGGTCTTCGAAAGGTTTACCCCTCCATTGCTTCCTCATGTTATCCCGAATGTGACGAACACAGTAACGATTTTCAGCACAAGGAAACAAGGTTGCAATTGCATTTAGAATACCCTAACAATCATACATAGATTTTGTTAGTAAACAATTTAGAAATAAAGTAAAAAAAAATCTATGATTTTAGTACCTTTTGTCTGTCTGTTATAAAAGTGAAATTAGAATTAGTATTCAAGCCAAGATCCTCCCCAAGACAACTCAAAAACCAAGTCCATGAACTGATGTTCTCTGTTTCAACCACCGCATATGCCAATGGATATGTGCCATTATTACCATCTAGTCCCTGCATTTTATGATAAATAACAATCATGAATAGATTTTTACTTATTTTTATGTATAACAATAAGTAAAAGAACCATAACTAAAACTTACCACGGCTGAAAGAATTTGTCCTGGAAATGGACCCTTCATGAAAGCACCATCAAAGCCAAGAAAATCCCTCTTTCCAGCTGCGAAGCCTTTCTTTAAAGCTCCCAAGCATATGTAAATGCGTCTGAATGTCCTCGTTTCATGTGTGGATTTCCTTCGCTTTCAACATCAACCCTAACAGTCGTATCTGGGTTACGAGTTTGCAACTCAACAATGTAATCTCTGAGTAAACTATACTGAGTAACGAAATCTCCTTGCACAAGGTTTAGAGCCTCAGATTTTGCCCTAAATGTTTTCATCCTAGAAAGATCTACTTAAACCTCCGTTGTAGCTGTTCTTGCAAAGCCCTAATTGGAATAGTAGGGTTACTTTCAACCTGTTCAACAATTTTAGAAGAGAGGAATTTATACGTACATGCTTTTATATTCTAGTTTGAAGACATTTATGGACTTTGTTGTACGTTTTAACTGTCCAGTTGACATCTTTTTTCCATTTACTAGCTAATAAGACCCAAGGACATATTTCTTCTTCATCGTTGACTTCTACATTAGGCCCAAGCTTTGGTATTGTTCCCTTACAAACCCATCTCACTCTATTCTTGTCATTTTTTTCAAAGGCCAGCTCCCTTCTAGTCTCTATGGCATGGAGTTTTACCTTATCCTTAAACTCCTTTGCTGAACCAAATTTTTGAAAAATATAGAAGGGTTCACTAACAAGTGCTTCATCATTCTCATGTTCCCTTTGAATTGCTCTTATTGATTTCTTTCTTTGACCATTAATCCCCTCATCTGATGATGAATCAGATGCAAAAAAGTCAGTGTTAATCACCTCTAAAGCTTCATCCTGTGTGCCTTCATCAACCACAGTGTTAGACGACCCTCCAACCCATTCCACATCTTTGTCGATATTCATTTCAAAATCTTGCATATCCACATTAATATCATCCAATATATTTTCAATATCCACGGAAAAAATCACTATCATCACTTTCATCATTGTCACTCTCTAACTCACCAAACTTACCAAAGTCATTAGCATCATTAACCAAGTCATTCTCCATATGATCAGTGAGAGTAGCATCATTACCCAAATCATTCTCCATATGATCAGTGAGAGTAGCATCATTACCCAAATCCTTCTCCAGATGACCAGTGGGTGTAGGATCATTACCCGATTCTTTCTCCATGTGATCCATGTCATCCTCCAAGTCAACAGCAGGTGTGCTATGCCACTCCAGGAACAGTCTCTTTGAACAAGATGGAGGTTCAGTAATCTCCGTTATACGAACTTTACTGTGGGTTGGGGACATTAAATAGGTGTGCAGAGTAGTTTTGTCATGCTCTATATATACCTCAATTAACTTATGCTTAGCCACAAAACTCCCCAAATAACGAACATCTTCATCACTAGCTAAAGCGAATAACCCAAAATCTAAATCGCCTAAAGGCCTTTGAAAGTGATAGTAAAGTGGTTTACCTATTGAAGCATACCCTAGGTCTTCCATCATCTCATCAATGTCATGAACGGAAAAGGTATCAATGTCCAGTAAATCAACAAATGTTTGCTTCCCACGAATATACTTCCTTCCAGGAAAGCTTGTAAACTCACCTCCATGGTGCATTCTTATTGAAAACATTGTCGGATGTCCAGCTGTAGAGGAGAGAATCGTTTTTAGCTAACAAAATTAAACCTTTAACAGTCAATATCATTCAAACGAAAGTCAATCAAACATACCATAACTTTGATCAACGTCGATTTCAGCCATTTCACCACGAATGCGCCAAGAAACCATTGCAATTCTTTGTTCTTGCAGTCGTCGCTACTATGGTTTTCACGTAAGGATTTTGCACATAGTTGTGTGTTTTTTTGGGTATACGATTGTGTAATGTAGAGTATGATCGTTTAATTAAACGCACCGATTTCTTAAACTGGCGGTATGAAGAATAAGTAAAATGACGGAAATACCCCTCAACGTGCAAGGCACGTGGGGGTTTTAACTCCAAAATCAAACGGAAGGTTAGATGAGGGACCAAGCGTGCACTAAACCAAACTATTAAGGATTGGCATGGTTAAAAAATGGAGTTAGGGACTAAGCGCGTAACAAACACCAAACCATAGGGACCATTCGTGTAATTTGTCCTTTTTTAGAATAGAAAATGCTATAAATTGAAAAAATGTTTTAACGGGTAAAAATGTAAAAGTTATTTAATATTTTGATAAATTAAAAAAAATGTTTTATATATATATACACACACACGCTAAAAGGCTTTGCTGTAAAAAAAAATATGGCCCAAATTTATTATCGTGTTCTTAATTATGCAATTATTTTTGTTCAATATATACAGCCAGTCATGGACTTTTATTGAAATAAAAGTTGGTAAATTAAAATTGTAATTCAAAACGATGTTAAATGAAAATTGTAGAGATTAAAAATTAGGTAAATAAAAACTATAATTTTTAATATGAGTTTGTTTGACAAATAGATGATAAATCAAAAAAAAAAAATTTCATTGTACTTGTTTTTGGTAAAAAAATAAGTGTAACCATGCATATTTAATGTTTTTTTAACATTAATAGTAAAAAAACACTAGGCGTCATTGACATAACTAAAATTATAATTTTAATAATTGTTTACATAGAGATTAAAAATTACTTGTGGTCAAAATAACAATATGCAGTCTAAAAACTAATTTAAGTTTAATACAAGACTAAACAAATATAAAAACAAAATAAGAATTTGATTAATCTATAATAAATCTATTTTTTATTATAAAAAATTATTTAAAAATTATGACAATAATTAATAAATAAAAGATAAATCCATAGAATAAGTGTTAGTACCCGAAAATACTACTATTGAGGTTGACGTAATAAATAAATATAAAATAAAAATTCTCAATTGGATCAAAATCAAAAGGTGATAAAAAACGTTAAATGTCTACTGTTAACAAATAATTTTTATAATTTTAAATTTATTTTATTTTATTTGATTGACTGGTAGTTTTGATTTTTTATAAATAGTTTTAAAGTGATGTATATAGAATCACCCCTTTCCCTTTAATGCCCCCATGCATTCATTAACCTCCCTAATGGTTCGGTCGGGATTCTAAATACACCCTCTTAAAAACCATTTTAAAAGTCAAAATGGTTTTGATTTGTCTTAATCCAATTTGATAAAGACAAATGATAATTAATTTACTCGGTAAGAAGATGGATATTAAATATGTTTTCCATGGTGGATAATAAATATCTATACCATGGTGTTGTCATTATTGTTTTTAATAAAGTAAAAAAATAAATAAATAAAATATATAACTTAGTTACGGTCCTTTATGAATTTATTAAATATTTTATTTATGGCCTTCTAACATATATTTAACTTTTAATTTACACATTCGATTATTAAATATTCGAATTAGCATATAATATCTCAATTTTATTTTGTAGATTTACATAATCCAATTTATTTTTTTATCATTATATAATCAATTTTATTTTGTATAATCTCAATTTTATTATAGGGATTTTCATATAATATTTCTAACTTTAAAATTTTCTTTATGAATAGAGATTTGTTTATATTAGTTCATTTAACTTTAAACGATAAATAACGATCATGAACAATTAAACGAACAATAAAAAACATAATATGATATTTTTTCACAACTATAATAAATAAAATTATCATTTTCATTTACCACCATTTTGTCAAACATTATCATATTCTAATTTTATTAATTATTAGGGATATCAATCGCATGAATATTACAATTATTACGTGGTGCACTCGGTGGAATATGTGCATTAAGTTGAACGTTATACAATATTTCTCATTTAGGAAAGTGTTTTGATCTGTTGTGACACCAAAGTGGTAAAACTGTAGGTATTATATGTGATTCTTGTAAATCAACTTCTACGTAATGACCATTATGAATGAAGAAAATAACAATAGATTTATGATGTGAGATCTCTTGTCGGCCATGACAAAGCGGAAAATAGGTCAACGAACCTTGTTTGTGTAAAAATAAACGATTACACCATACTTATTAGCAATGAGGAATCCAATATCCAACATAATCAACCAATACTCACGTTGTGCAGAACCCAATCCAGTGAAACTCAACGAGTGATGTACGTTGTTTATATTATCCTGAAAAAACATTGCATATCGTCTCTAATTTTCTAATAACTCGTTGTATAATTATGAGTGGATTTGTTGCCAATAGTTTTGACTATACCCAAGGAAGACAGCTATTGCCCGAAATCAACAAATCCCATCTCCCTCCACATCTACAATATTTGTAATGTATGGATCAAATTCATTTGGAATTTCACTCATAATTGAATTTGAATAAAATGTTGAAGGTTGTTGAAACAAAAATGTATTGTGCCTCTATAGTTCGTGGTTCAAATCAAACTGATTAGCCCCATTATAATCTAACATAGACGTCACAAAACTATGTCTACGAGGATATTGAGTTGGTGGATCTTGAGTAGGTGGAACATGATGTCTTGTTTGTGCACTCAACCGCAGACGTCCTCTTGGTACTTTGATATTATGAGAAGTAGGTTCCCGAAGCAAAGTTGTTGATGGTGAAAATATCTTTTCACTTTCGCACCCAACTGAACTTACTAGATCTTGATTGTTTTTTTCAACCGTGTGTTAGACTTTTGGCCTTCAACATCAACAACATCATCTTCTAGTCGGATGCATGGATCTAATTAAAAATTTTCCTAAAGTTATGAATGGAATAAAGTGGTATTGGATTTTCATTTTTAAATATACTGCTTGTTCGTGCGCACATGGTAGCCCGTGACTAGTACGCATTTGACATCCACAAATTTCAAGGAATTTGATTTGTTCAAATTCCTTTAAAATTATTTCAAGTGCATTAATTGAAACATTACCAACCAAATATCTAAAAATTGGATGGATGAAACGATGTCATGCAATAATCATGCTCCGTCCCAAACTTGCTTTGATAGCATAGTCTTGTGACTGAATGACATCATGAATTCTTGGTAATACTATCGCTGTAAAACCTAAACTCGTGACGTATCAATCGATTTCACTATGATGGTGCGGAATCCCAATTTAGTGAATGATGCAAGATGTAATATGGAATAAGAACAAGATGATTAATGTAACAACGTAAAATCTCCAATTTAATTTTTCATTTTTAAACCCCAAATGTATATCATATCATAATCTCAAAACCATAACAACAGTGTTTTCAAACAAATCCGAAGATCTCTCTAACATGAACTCCATTGGTGTGGGTGTGTACAAGTCAAGCCTTCGCCTTCCCACGTTCCTCGCTGGTACCTGAGACATCAAACACAACAACTGTAAGTATAAATGCTTAGTGAGTTCCCCAAAATACCACATACCACAAATACGCCACTCAAGGCTAAACCCGACCCTCCGGTCAAGATGTCTCAGTGGGACCCTCCAGTCCCGCAGCTCGTCAGACCCTCCGGTCCAGTCATAGCTCGTTGGGCCCTCCGGCCCGATCAGTATCGTTGGGCCCTCCGGCCCGGTCTATATAACCATACAGTATACAAATAACACATAGCACGAAATCTCTAAGACAACACATAAACTCATACGTAGCACATGAGACCCTCTGGTCAACTCGAAGTACCTACTCAAGGTAATGAATAGTGAGAAGACTCACCTCGCGTATCTCGGTAACTCGTAAATCTCGTAACTACTAGTGCTCGATCTCCCGAGCTATCGTCCTCCTACAATACAAGCATATCTCTACTTAATACCACCTTGACCCAGGGTAACTAACACTACGAAGTCAAACTGGTCAACGGTCAACGATTGACCCGACTCGCCGAGTCCCTACGGGAACCCGATCCCTCTGAATCTCTTCCGACTCACCGAGTCACTCACCCGACTCGGTTACTCAGTCCCTGGTTCGTAATCACTGAACAACCCGCACCAACTCGCCAAGTCTGGGAGTGGACTCGGCGAGTGCATTCCATGCACAACCCCAAACGACCTTTTGAGGTCAGATCCACTCTACTAACTCATAGATCCAGTCCCCTTAAGCTTATTGACCACGTAAAGTCCAAGTCTTGGTGCTCATTAAGCATCAAATAGCTCATTAATGGTGTTTTAGCCTCAAATACATTGATCCCAACCCAAAAGCTCCATGGATGCATATAAAGCTTGGGCAGAGAGGTGCTCTGGACCTCTATGGGGTCCAGATTCAGAGCCATAACTCGCCAAGGGACCATGAGGATACTAGATCTAGCCACAAATGGGTTCAAAAGCCCTAAATCTATAAGAACATCACAATAACAAAGAAGAATTCGAAATGGTACCTTAGTGGTGATGTCCTGGACCTCAATTCTTCAACAATCCACCCCTCTCTTGCTTCTTCTTGGCTAGATCTCCTCTTCCCTTGCTAGACAATAACTCCAAGATCAACAATGGCTCCTTCCCTCACTTGAATCACTCAAATGCTCTAGGATCTCACTCTGGGGACTGATGAGCGCAAATGACGGCCATAAGGCCCTTTAAATAGGCCTCAAACCCGAGAAATTAGAGCTTCATTAAACAGCGCAGACTCGCCGAGTCCACCAAGGCGACTCGCCGAGTCCGGGCATCAATCCGGGTGAAAAATCGCGTCTCAACTCAGCGAGTCTACGCACCAACTCGCCGAGTCCTTCCACAAAACTCAAAATAAAAAGAATAATTAATATACTTGAAATCCTGGATGTTACAATTCTCCCCCACTAGAATCCGACTTCGCCCTCGAAGTCTCATTCCTGAAATAG